GAGACATGGGCCATGAACAGGTTCACAGTCGTAAACCTGTTCACGGCCGTAAACACATATACAACCATAAACACCAAATTGTTTACGGTCTCAGACATAAAAATACATTTTCCTAGAAAACTAAAGTATAAACCATATTATTAACCCAACACCAAGGATCCCATACTAGACACAACTTTCGATTCCTTTATCACCACACTTTCATTAGACTTGACAATACCCACCATCTTTGCTAATGAGTAGGTTTTAAACTGCTCGTTAGCCTTCACAGTTGATGCCACAACCATCCATTCAGGTCTTAAACCATTCAAAAATGTGACCTTCTGTTCGATCACTTCTCTTCTAATATCGTGCTTGATCATCTTGATCAAAAGATGGTTGAAACGATTGAATGCCTGAATAAGTTTTTCATCTGGCTTTTGTTTGAAAGCACTGAACTCATACAGCATTAGAGTTTAGATAGAATGTTCCATCTCCTCATCAATGGAATACAGCTCTTTAAGTCTATCCCATATCTCTTTGGCTGTGGTGCATGGGCTTACCAGACGAAAAGTATCAGACTGCAAAGCAAATCTAATCATTCTCATAGCTTTAACATTACATAACAACTTTTCTTTTTTGTCTTGAGGAATCTTCTCCACATCAGCGAAGAGTTTGTTGTACTCCTTTTGAGTCTGAATGGTTCTATTTGTTACAGAATGAATAAAAGGACCCAATGTTATTGCTTCCCAGATAAGATAATCGTTGTCTTCAAAAGCAACGACGTAGTCTTCAAAGTGATGCGTCCAAACTTCATAATCTTGAGTGTATAGAATCGGGATTCTAGTTGTGGATGTAATGCTGTTGTAGATATTGATCAGATTGGTTTGTGAATTGTCGAGAGACATGATGACCTTTTTCAAATATCTGCTAAGAATCAGACTTGTAAATATTTAATTAGGGTTTTATCAAAAGCAAGAAACAGTGTTAATGAAGAGGTGACAACTACTACAAATTCGATAAAAGTAGAAACCCTAAAATTATTCTTCCAACAGAAGAGATGCGTAAATATTACTTAGTCTCCTGCTCTGATACCAATTGATGAGAAAATTATTCACTAAGATCAATAGATTTAATCAGATATCAACAAAACGAAAACAATTAACACAAAACGACAAACACCAACATAAATCAAACGAGTGTCGAATGATTAATATGCTCCACCTCAGAAGAATTCAACGTGAACTGCTGTTGTAGAGGTGTGTTACGGTTACAATACAAGATCTATCAAAATAATAATCAAGAAGCGTAATTAATATAATGCATGCATGCACTATATATATACTAAACCCTAAAACAAAATACGACTGGATAGGCCCAGACCGAGAATACAAATGGACTGAGATGCTAAGCCCAATGATGCAATCTCTTGGACTCAACAGCATAATTTACTCTTTTTAATACACAAGTAATCTTACATCCACAAGTGCAGGAAACTTGTTGAAAAAGAGTCAATACTAGTTGAGTTAATCCATCTTCAAGAGGTGAAGTTGCAAGGATTAACGCTGGCATAGAGACTATCAAAGGAGAAATTAGTCAAGCATTCCTTTTAATGTTGTGCTTTATTTTTCTATAATAAATATTATTCAATATTATCAATTTATTACATTTAATAACTATTAGAATGAATATTCGTATTTGACATATGATATATTGTGAAATGAATTATCTTTATTGTGTATCGTATTTTATTTTGTATTATGAGAATTTAAATGTATTATTTATTTTGAAAATTAGTAAATCAATTATATATATATATATATATATATATATGTATATCATTTCAAACTACAATACAGATAGTGTGTCGTAAGTGTGTGTCGTAAATGCGCATAGTAAGGTTACGATACATAAATGCGTGTTGTCTCTTCTTTTATGATAGTGGGTTCGTTGGCACGCATTTGTGTGTCATTTGTCCCTTTTATGACACGCATTGTGTGTTATTAAAGGCACTTTTATACTAGTGTTTGATCTCATCTATGACTTGGATTTCTCATGCTTAGGTGACCTTTATCACACAAGATTTCGATCAAGTCCTCCTTTTTTATATAACTTGTGGTATCGAAATTCTACTAGTGGTTAGGTGACCCATCACCCACTATCAAATCCGAAAACCACATCACCATCATAAGTCAATCCTAATAGTTAGGTGACCCATCGCCTACTAAAACCATACAAATGATGAGCGAGTATTCCTCAAAAGGGACAACAATGACTTGCATTTGTAAGAAAGGGTTTTATATATGTTTCACGAATATAATTATAAAAACACGGTCTCATGAATATTCCATGCATCTAACAATTCATGTACACGTTTGTAAAACTCATATTACTTGTTATAAGGTTTTTTAGGTTCAAAATAAAACTTCATTTTATTTGCCATTGGCCGCGATCAATTATACACCAGAATCCGATATTTAAAATTTAGTTGTAGAATGCTTTAAGAACGGGTTATAATCTTTAAACTAATTTTATTTAATAAACTCATTTTATACATCTTATAATAAAAATTCATATTTTGATAAACCAAAACTTAGTGATGATAAATATGTTTGAAATCTCATTTAGCATGCCTAAAACATAATATCAACATGTTGTGTTAAGTTTTAAAAAATAATATCATATATTAAGTTTTGACATAAAAAATTACTATTATTATTATTATTATTATTTTTATTATTATTATTATTATTATTTGGCGTTATAACAATATAAACCGGTTTTTAGTCTTTTTAATAAAAGTTTTATTTATTATAAAATACATAGAGTTTATATAGAGTTTAAACACTTTTTAAACCATTTTAAATACTTTAAAGTAGGTTATTTAAAAGTTTTACTATAAAACTATTTTTTTAACAAAAACTCAATTTTAACTGGTAACCTTAATAATTAATCATTTATAAACATATGATCTTACCTTTTAAATATTTTCTTTGTCAAACTCCAAGTGATATTATTTTTTGATAAATGTTATTTGAAATGTAAAAACCATTTTCATACATACAACAACTATAAAATAAACATAAAAATAATTCATTAAAATGTGTACAAACCAAGTCATAACTAGTAATAATTTTTGGAAGTCAACACAAGAATTATTAATTTTCTCTTAAAGGACTTCAGGGACACTTCAAAAACTCTTCCAGTTCCAACTTGCTAGAACAACTCTTTCTTGCAAAAAGAACTTCAAATCTTGATGTGTTTTAAAGGATGTGACACTTAAACCATTATGATTATAATTAAGCCCAAAACCAAGAGTAGAAGTTTATGGTTGGGATTATAGTCTCAAGTGGTTAAGTCATCTTCAAAGTGGGCATTTCTTCATCTTGTTACATTTAAATGAAAATACAACTAGTATAACTAATTTATTAAATAAAATAAACAAATGAAAAAAAATACATATTTATCTATTACATCATATGAATAAATAAATAACAAACAACAACAATCCAAAGGTCCTATTTACACAATAACATATGAAACATAATAACAAACACTTTGTTTTTTTCTAACAAAACATTATACAACCAAAATGCATTAAAACTTGGTTACATAAAATAACAATTAAAAAAAACAATTTGCCATAGAAAATATATTTGATGCTTTCTTTAGTAAAATAAATACCAAACATATTTTCCAAAACCAATGGTTATCAAACACTTAAATAAAATTTCTCTAACGTGTATAAGAGGCTCATATATCACAAATGGATTTTGATAACTTAAAATGATCTTTTTTTTTTATAAAAATAGTTTTATGAACGGAAAACGAAAGACTTTTCTAGTAACTAGTTTATTTGTAAATCATGTTAGCCAAACCACCAAGAGGATCCAAATACATGAACTAGAAAGATAATAACAACCATAGGTTGTTTAAGGGATAAAATTTGAAGCCTTTCATCCCACTTAGAACCAGTGAGTTGATAAAGATAGAAAAAAAATTCAAGAATAGAATTTCTCTACAGTGTATCCACCATCAAGAATATGGCACTTGGAATGCTACTTTCCATCGTGTATGAAGTACTTCTTAAGCCTTTAAGAGATTATCTCAAATAAGTACCAATGGAAAGGCCCTTCTAAGCATCAAATATTCACTAGACTTCAAAAAAAAAACAAAAAAAAAGGGAGAGATGATGGATTCAGCCATCACTTCGAAGAGAGAAAAAACTAGCAAAAAAATGCAAGTCCCATGCATTGTTTTATTGACCATGTAAAGAAAAAGCAACCCTATATAGTAATCTAAACTACTATATACACTTTAGAGACATGGGGGACAAAGGAGAAACGTTGACAAGCAACCTCTCATGCCTTAGACAACTTTTTGCCATGCAGAGACAAGGAGACAAATCCTAGTGCTACTTTCTTTAACGGTAACCAATTAGCTAATGTAAAGTTAGCCAAATTGTCCAAAAATTTATACATGATGTATTAAATCATACCATATGATATAATAACTAGTTATACACTCTTTATTTATTATTTTTCACAAAAACAATAATTTTTGTAACATCCCATTTAAAAATAATAATAATAATAACAATAATAATAATAATAATAATAATAATAATAATAAACTCGAAGCCCTGAGAAGTGATTATTATTATTATTTTATATTATTATAGCCCAAAATCAAATTATAATTACCGGGGGTGTTGGTTTCGGGGAGTAAAATGGTATGATTTAGAGTCTCGGGCGTTAAAGCGTAATTACGGAACTTCTTTTGTAAAGTTTTTTAGAAAACAGGGGCTAAAGAGTAAAATTTGGACTTAAATTGTGAAGGATTTTTGGAGGAAGGGTGTTAATGGTAAAATATGGACCTGCCTTGTAAGAAATGGGAAAAGGAGGGGCTAATGTTGTTATTATGGAGTGCAGTTTTGGAGAACCAGTATATAACCCTCAGCCTTCCGTAACCCTAACCTTAAAATCATAAACTGGCCGCCACCCCCACTTCATCTTCATCCCCTAGCCGCCAGAGAAGAGCACTATTATCCCTCCTGTTGTCAAAGTCGCAGCCTCCATTGAGCTTCTCCACTGCTTCAACCTCCGCTGAAGGCCAAGGCTGCCATTAGACACCGTGGTAGTGGGTAACCCCCGTAACTCGTTGTCGGGTGTCGTGGTGGTGGTTTCCAGTGGAAGTTGCACACCCTCACCGCCTCTTCGTTCCTGTCGCATCGCCACCACTTCAACAGTGGCTCCTCCACCGTTTCTCTTAACTCCTTTCGATTAGCGTCCACCGATAGCCGTCGCTAGGGCCAGTAGAACTGGTGTTGCCATTGTTACGCAACACCAAGTGGTGGTTGCATCCAGGATTTGCAGCATGAGCTTGATGGTGTATGTTGCTGCTGGTCAGGGAGCCAAAAGAAGTCATCACCACCATCGTATGTTTATTGATTTGCGAGTTGGTGATGTCGAAGATTGTAAAATGACCCACCATGTTTCGTCACCACCAGCCACCATCAAAGGTGGCTGTGTGTGTGATTTTGTGTGCGTTAGTTCGGGAGTCTGTCAATCAGCAGCTGGAGTTTTATTTGTGGGACTTCAACAGTCCCAGGTGAGTTATCCTCACCATACTAAAGGGTCTAAGTTACCAAGGCCGGCCCTTTTTGAATTTTTATTTGGTTATGTTATGCGGGTATGATCTGTTAGATCGGTATCCTAGAGGGTAGGATGATATTATGTGATATGTGGTATGACCTGTTAGTTCGGTATCCTAGAGGGTAGGATAATATTATGTGGTATGTGGTATGATCCATTAGATCAGTTGTTATCTATAGATTCTTATGTGGTTATCTGTTATATGTGCACATGTTTGTTTAGCGGTTGAGGCTTATCTGCTTCGTCCGAAAGCCAATAGACCTAGGCATTCCAACTTGTTGTTTTTGGGCCGTGAGTATTCCATCCCGAGGATGATTAGACTCATAGTATGTGGGCATTCCAACTTGTTGGTTGTGGGTCGTGAGTATTCCATACCAATGATGATTGGACTCATAGTATGTGGGCATTCCAATATGTTGGTTATGGGCCTGGGGTAATCCATCCAGAGGATGATTGGACCCATAGTATGTTGGCATTTTAACCCGATGGCTGAGAGGCTGGGGTATTCCAACCCGATGGTTTACTGGACCCATAGTATTTTGTTTATGGTTATGTGTATTATTGTGGGTATGGGTATTTTGGGGGAACTCACTAAGCTTTCGGGCTTACAGTTTCAGTTTATTGTTTCAGATACATCAGGGGATTGCGGCAAGCTGAAGGCATGATCGTACAGCTCCTCATGTTTAGTTTATGCTTCTGGGAAAACTCTAATATTATACGTTTTGAAAACAAAGATGTAATGATTTTTAATGGGTTGAAATGTTTTTAAAAGTTTAAATTTGGCATGATTTTTATGGGTGTTACAAGTTGGTATCAGATCCTTGGTTTGAGTGAATTAGAGGAACATTCGTGTGAATCTAGTCTCAAATCAATGAAAATTTTTCAAAATGATTTTCAAATGGTTTTCAAAATAAGTAAAGGAGAATGTAGGGTGTACGATCAGCCGAAGCCAGTAAGTTGACCCCAAAATACCATATAGTTATTTGATTATGTGATATGTTAGAACAACATGCTAGTTCTAGGCTAAGGATCTTCAGGAATTGCATGATAGAATTTCCTGATTACATGATGCCTGGTAGCCTAGGGTTTTCTTTATATAAGTACTGCAGGGTTGGTGGTAGTTTCATAGGTGGGTGCGTTGTGTGAGACCGGTAGGTCAGTAGTGAGACAGTTAGCCTTCCTTTATGGTGAGGTTGAGCGACCACCATATGTATGTATGTTATTAGGATGTTGTAGTAATACTTGAGACAAATATGGGTAGGTGTGGAAGGTAGTATGGGCTTGTACTACTGAAAGCATAGGACCTATACACATAGCAAGGAAGTCACACCCCCAAGGATTTGGTTGGGAGTTGGTACCCTGTCATTATATGGATTATCATAGATCTTTCTAGTGTATTACCAGAATGGTGGTTATGATACATCTTGAGACGGATCCGGGTCAGGATCGACAGCTGGAAGCCTGGATAGGCCAACATTGTCAGAGGATCGTGTTAGTGAGATCATCCGGTAAAGGGTGATCGGGGTGGTCCGAGGACAGTTTCCGTAGATGTTTGGGTATATTAATACTGCCATGGTAGAGTATTTTGACGATGACTAGGCATCAATTGTCGAGACGGTTTTCGCGATAGCTATAGCAGCTGTAACGACGACAAGGGGAGGAGTTGGTCGAGCTTTCTAGTACTGAGACTTGTTACTGGGACATATTCTGATGAGCAGAGGGCTGCAGTTATTTGGGATCAGGAAGATGATCTGTACTCGTTATATTTCTGCGGGTTGAGTGGGAGAGGATAACACATGAGTTTCTAGATTTGAGGCTTGGGGGTTTTGCTTGAGGTCAAAATGTGAGTCACATGGACTCGGCAAAGGAGTGATGATTATGTTCAGCTGGGGTTTTGCAGCTTGAAGTAGAAGGGTTAATTGATGGATTGGAATGTCGTTTTCCAGAGTAAGGATTGTGCCCTTTTAGTTTACGAGCTCGAAGGATTGAGCAGGCTTGTAACCCAGGATTAGGTTGTATTCCAGCTTCGGGTCAGTTTGTCTCCGATATTGGCGATAGTAGTTCAGCGCTGGTGAAGGCGAGTGAGTCGAGGTGGCATAAGTATCTTGTGAGATCCAATTCGCCTTGGATCTCTTGCATTTGACAGTAAGGATTGATTGTGCGATATATTGCACTTTTGGGATTGAAGACTATGTGTTGGGAGTAAATTGTAGCCTAGTTTAGGGTAGAGGTTGTTTCAGCTACTGCAGTTTAGCTATGGACGAGTGAGCTGGTGAGTGAGTCAGGGTGTGAACCTTGAATGAAATGATTTCTAGAGCTGAGAGTGGGATATTTGTTGGATCACTTTGGGAAGAAGGGTATTATATGGGAGGTTTGGGGACAAGGTCCCACAGGATGGTTATTCAACATTGTCAGGATTTAATGGTTTTAGTAACCGTTATTGGTTGGCAGAGGAAAGCGCCAAGGGAAGTAGGTCGTTGTAGACACACTAGTTGGAGCATCTATCTTTGGACTTCAACATTTGGCTGTGGGGTCATTCGAGCATTTGGAACTGTTGGTTTCCCTAAGATTTAGGAAATGTTCATCTAGTTATTAGAAACGTTTGATCATTTGGGGTTGGCTCGTAAAGGAGTACTAGTTGGAAAGGTCTAATTGTCATCATATCGATCGTTTGAATGTAGGAAGGATTGTGTATTCTCCAAATTTTGTGTATTGTGAATAATTAGTTAAATATAAGTGGGGGAGAATCGACCCGAAATGCAGAAGCATGATCATTTTTGAAAATGGGATAAGTTTCGCATCAGTGTCAGGAAGGAAGACAACCCAAGTGGTTTTTGGGATTGAGGGTTGTATGAGTTGGGAGTTTGTAAAACTCCCCAGTATGTGGATTGCATCTTCTCGGTGCTTGATAGGCAGAACATTGGGAAATCAGGTTGGCATTCTAGCCATGAATTGAGTTCAGTTGTGTGTCAGTTCGAGTGTGTGTTCGACCACTATGGAAAGTTTTGTAAGACTACGGTGGTAGTCGTAGCATTCAATAACAATCAATTAGTATAGGAAGTGTTGTAAGACTATGGGGGTAGCCGTACCATTCACTATCGATCAGTTAGTATGGGAAGTGTTGTAAGACTACGGGGGTAGTCGTAGCATTCACTTTCAATCAATTAGTATGGGAAGTGTTTTAAGACTGTGGGGGTAGCTGTAGCGTTCACCAGGTTGACAGATAGTGTGCGAAGTGATGTAAGTCTAAGGGTGTAGCCAAACCTTTCTCTAGGTTGGTAGATAGTATGAATGTGTTGCTAAGACACGGAATGGATAGTAGTAACCACCAGTTCGAGTGTGGCAGTGAGAATATGGAATTACATAGAGGGATTAGACCTGGTTAAGTCAGTGATAAAACTGTAAGAATGTCACTTGTAACGCCCGTGTTTCTAGGCTTGCCATTTTTAGCAATGTAATAGTCTAGGTTAAGCTTGTAACTCAACTTGAAATAATAAGAATGTATTATTTGTGAATTATTTGAATTATGTGATTTATGTGTGTATTTTCTTAATTTTTATAATTTAATGAATTAAGAATAAAATAAGCGTCAAAATTAAAGTGTGAGATAAGCCCGACATCTTTGCATAAAGTTGTAGTGGTCGAAACAAGGATTCCGGGGATATAAGGAATGCCAAAATCCGAGTTATAACGAAGAAGTTATGACCTGTCGAAGTTTCGCGACAGAACCGACACGACGCCGAATGACGTAAAATATGAATTTAAGATAGAGCGATATTTAGCCTTAGCGATCTAAACGAAAGTCGTAGATTTCGTTAAACCGAGAGCGTGCATAAAAGGAACGCCCAAATCTGACTTCGTATGAGGAACTTATGATTTTTCTAAGTTTCGACTTAGCAGTATGCAGCCCGAATACTCGATTTGAGATCGAGCGGTTTTTAGCCGAAACAATCTAAATGAGAATCGAAGATCTTGTTGTTAGTAGCGAAGCAATGAAAAGTTAGGCGAGAACGGACGTCAGACGAAGAAGTTATGAATTTATAACGAAGTTTTTCTGTCCCGGCCTTCTAAAAATAAATAATAAAAATAAAAGTCAAAATTAGCCGACGGAGTCTAAATGAAAGTTGTAGAGTATGGTCTAACCTTCGCGTGGATATAAAGAACGTCGAAAACGGAGCTCGTATGCGAAAGTTACGCAATTTAGAAGTTTGACAAGTCAATTACGTCCCGCGTAATTTGAGTACGCCCCGCGTACTCAGTCGGATGCAACTTGTCTGACCAATACTCGAGTGCCACCAGTCGACGCACGCAGTGACGTCAAAGTACGCCCCGCGTAACCCGAGTACGCCCCGCGTACTGAGTACGCCCCGCGTAATTTGAGTACGCCCCGCGTAATCCCAGACCCAGCAGCCTATAAATAGAACTCGAATTCAGCCATTTTCTCTTGTTCAAACTCTTCCCTCTCTCTAAGTTTTGCCTCGATTTGCGTGCCGTTTATACCCCAAAGCCCCGGTAATATTCCCGAGCCCCGAAGTAAGATCCGAAGCCCCGAGAATCCCGAAGAGCGTTATTCCCGAGCCGAAACGCTGCCCGCGAGGAGCCCGGTTTTGTGAAGATCTTCCAGATCTACGGAGAAACACCTCTTCTGCAAGCCGTAGTGCTGCCCGATCATCTTTTAATCAAGTGAGTGTGTAGTTATTTTCATTCCAACGCAATATTATGAAGTATTTCATATAAAATACGTGTTATGTGTATATATTTGGTTGTTATACGTGTGAGTGTATATTCACTCTCTTCTATCTTATAGATCTGATGTATTCTCTATGAAATACGTGTTAT